CCGCGTACTAGTGACATTTCCACCTTGCTGCGGGTGAAATGATTAAAAAAGTTAAAGATGCTCTCAAAAAACTAAGCAAGGTATTAAAACATAAAAATATTTAGTTAGAAACAAAAAGAGGTCTGAACTGCTATATCACATCTATTCTCTTGTATGGCAGTGATTGTTGGACAATTTTCTTCCAAATTTGTTTAATGGCATATCAACTCCTTGTGGGTCATTTAATGCCGAGATTTATTTTTCTTGGGATCTTTGAAGTAATAGAAATATGACATATGTTCTTCTGCTTTCAGAGTTGAATACATGGTAGATGATACTCTGCTTTTTTAAGTATACATGTTTGTGTGAACATAATCATTAGAGGTGGATATATACGTGTTTTACCTTCTAGTTTTCTTGAAGTTGAAATACAGTTTGATTTAAGAAATTATCGGATATTATATGGATAAATGTCATGAAAAGTGTTCTTTTATGTTGGCTGCTTGGTAGTATTTTAAACAGATTTGGGCGAGGTCGCTACAGTTTTTCATTATTTGCATGTTGTTTGTAATTTTACTATAAATATGTATTGTTTATAATACTTTATATAAAAATGTATTCTGTTTACATTATTCGGACTATTTATGGCACAGTGGATAAAGGCGTTGGTTAGATCCAGTGACAGGACCCAAAGAGTTGTGAGTTCAATACCTGGTTAAGGCAGTGGAGAACTTGGAGAGGTGAATTAACAGGAGATAACTGATAACTGACATCCATTAGACATGGCACGTGGAACTAAAACAGTCTACCCCAGCGAGCAAAATAAAGAGTTCAGTTCAACCACCTGAAGAAGGTTAGAGCGTACAACGGCCGAAATGTTGTGATAAATATGGCAACAAAGATGAAGAATAGTCCGAATAATGTAAATAGTGTACATAATACCTCATCTCAGAAATACAGAAAAAATGTGTTGTTGATATTTATACTACAAAAATGTAGAACAGTCTACCCCAGCGAGCGAAATAAAGGGTTCAGTTCGACATTTCAACCACCTGAAGAAGGTCAGAGCGTACAACGACCGAAATGTTGTGATAAATATGTCAACAAAGATGAGGACAATAGTCCGAATAATGTAAATAATGTACATGATACCTCATCTCAGAAATATAGGCAAAAATGTATTGTTGATATTTATACTATAAAAATGTATTCTTATACTTTCACTGCTTTGTTTTTGTTTGGGGGATTCGCTTTTTTATCCATAGCTGGGAACCTAACAGGTGCTACCACAACGGGTCAGGATAGACCTAAGAACAACAGCAATTAAGAAGTGGTCCTATGTTCCTCAAAACTTCCGATCTCCCAATCAGGGGCCTTGCTGCCGGATGTAGTTTATCGTCATACCCAGGAATGAAGAGACTCGAGGCGACAAAGATATGGCTCGACAGAGGGATGCTGAGAATACCATGGACAGAACACGTGGACAACGAAAAAGTTCTAAAGAAAATTGAAACAAACAAGACGCCCATACTTAAAATAAGAAAGAAACAGTTGAAATTTCTGTGATGCATTATGAGGAAAACCGGCATGGAAAACTTAATACTCACAGGACGTATTGAGGAAAAGAGGAGTAAATGGAAACGGAGAACAACATAACTAATGAGTTTTTGCAAATGTATAGGGCAAGGACAAGGAGGTATGTTATAGAGTCAAAATTCGCTTTGACATTCAACGAGCAGGAAGATGTGTAGAGCCATGATCGGTCACGTCCTGAAGGGTCACGGCACATTAATGATGATGAGTGAATAATTACTACATTTAGAAGAATTCAATAGGCGGCTAAATAATTAAAGCGGGGGTAACTTTGGAACAGAAGGTACTGTATGCAACCTTTGACCCGTGTACAAAACGAAGTGAAGTCTGCTAAATATCATCTCTTCTTTAAAATATATAATTAAAATTGATATCTTGCCTTAATCGTGGGGTACGAAGCAGTCTAGCAAACTAATTATCATGTTCATATCTCATAGGCTGCGCATTAAAACATGACTATTAAGCAGCTTCAGCCCAGACAAGACAACAATACTCTATTTTGCGTCTGACCTAGCAAATGTTTTCAATCATTTCACCCCAACCAAAGCAATAAATATATTAAGATGCAAGTGATTACTGGGTGGGAGAGAATAAACTTTTAAAGACAGAGGACAATGAAAGAACAAGAATTAAGAAGACAGAAGATAACGATTGATATTGCATTTAAATTTTTGAAGATCAAATTTGACTGGCAAGCCGGAAGCCGGAAGCCGGAAGAGAATTCCACAAGCGAAAAGTGCAATCGAAGAAACTTTCAGCATAAAACTTACATAAGTTACATTTAGCCTATTTGATTCAGGATCGCTATACATAGGTTAAATTATGTCTCTCTTTATGACAATGTTCCACTTTCTTCATTTCCTTTACTAAAACTTCCAATATGACATCCAATTTGTCTATATCAACAATGCTCTTCCATATCTCTTATCCTCTCGTTATATTCCCGTACGTATTCTCGTTACGAGGTCATCTTCATAAATTTGTGTTTCTTTTTCTATTTTTTCGTTCATTTCGTTTCTTCTGCCGTTATTTTCTTCCAATTCAATTCAGAAGCAAAAACTCCAATTGTATATGAATGTTTTTTTAGTACCTTTTTTTTTCTACTTCTCGTTTTCATCTCGTTTCTACGAGATTTTCCTCTTCATGGTTTTATTCATCTCTTCGAGCAGTTCCTTTCTTTTCCTGCCCAATTTGAACTCCTCATCCTCCACACCTCATCGCTCCAGCTAACCTTTAGATCAATACCAAATCTGATTGTTTGTCATTTTTGATGAGTGCAAGAATTGATTTTTTTTTTTTTTTTGGTCCCGTTGCCATGGAAATTGTGATAGCTCAATTTTAGGAAATTGTTTAATATCATTTTGAAACAATCCATCGTGTCTTTTCCGGTGTACGCAAAACGAAGAAACACATACGCGCGTACACACACATACATATCTACATGTATAGATCTATTGTATTCGTTTTCCTACCAGTAGTATCACACCTCTAGAGATGAAGTAACAGCAAGCTCCATCTGTTTTGGAACATTATTTTCATGTTGACATACTAAAAATTGTGTTAGTCCAAAATGCAAATTCTGTGATAAATATCCAGAAACAATTGATCATCTTGTACCACGTTGCACAGAATTGGTACCCACTGAAATTGGTATGGATATCAATCACCCGGGACTGGCTAAGGGAATAGGACCTGTAACAATGTTATGGCACTGCACAATACACAGAGACAATAATCAATGCTAATCATCTAAAAGATCCCCTTCTGTCTTCCATCATTATGGCTAATGCTAACCTGCAGGCGAGTGCCTCGTTACGCCTTCTCTGACTAACACCCGCGGCTAACAAGAAGTGGAAAGACTATATTAAATCCATTGCTAGATCTGCTTCTTAGAAAGTTAGTTCACTGTGTTGTGCTAGACATCTTTCTCATCAGAATCTATCTTACATATCTAAATGTCTACCATTCGACCATGCTTCGAATATTGCTGTCACATATGGTCCGGGGATGCTGTTATTTATTTAGAGATTCTTGATAAAATCCAAAGAAGAATTAGCAATATTATTGGTCCTGACCTGGCGTCTCGGCTTCAGTCACTTTCCCGCCACCGTAAAGTTGACTCCCTGTGCCTTTTCTATAAATACTTTTATTGTAACTGTTTGGATGGACTATTCGTTATGGTACTTAGACTTTAAGAATCTAAGCTCAGTAATGGGTTGGCAACAAGGTATCATCAAACTACAAGTGAATTTCTCAGATGTAACCGTAAGTTTAATGCAAGCAGTTTCTTTTTTCGCACTTCTCGTTTGGGGTACTCTCTATCAGCTCCATGCTTTCCAGCCAACTTTGATCGTCAAAAATCTAAACGCAACGTCAATCGTTATCTACTGTCTTCCTGATCACTCTTCTATTGTTCTCGCTCCTTAATAATGTTTCTGTTTTCTAATAATTTCACACTCGTTACTGGCAGTGAAAGAAGCAGAAAACGGAAACTTCTGGCACTATTTACATTATTCAGGCTATTGTCCTCATCTTCGCCGCCATATTTATCAAAACGTTTCGGCCGTTGTTACTCTCCGGCTTTGTCGGAATGTCGAACTGAACCCTTTATTTCGCTCACCGGGTAGACTGTTCTAGTTCCACGTGCCATGTCTAATGGATGTCAGTTATCAGTTATCTCCTGTTAATCCCCCTCTCCAAGTGATCTACCGCCTTAACCAGGTATTGAACTCACACTCTTTGGGTCCTGTCACTAGATTTAACTAACGTCTTTATCCACTGTGCCATGTGTCCTTGGGGAAATATAGACAGATGCAGAAACTTCTGACATCTCGACTTCTGTCCCTTTCTCACTGACTTGAGAAGGCTTCCCTCTGTCTTTTCTACAAATATTAGTTTTTTTTTATAGCAATTGCTCGGATGAGCTTTTTTCCCTGGTGCCCAAACTATTAGGTTGGTGCAAAAATGATGACGTAATAATGTCGTTTTTTGACGTTAAAAAATACATCAAAAAACGACATTATTACGTCATTATTTTTGCACCAACCTAATACATGAATTTAAGCGGGGCTACTAGATTGACAACTAGGCTCTACCGTTTTACAGTGGAACTAGCGAGATGCAACCGCCTGTACTATTGTAATAGTTTCTTTTCTCGCACTTCTCGTCTGTGGAACTCCCTTTCGATTTCTTGCCTTCCTTCTAACTACCATCTTCAAAAATTTAAATCGCCATCTTTTGTCTTTCTGAAACTTGTTCTTCTATTGTCCGTTCTCTTCAGCTTACATCGCTAGATCATTTACGAGTAATGAGTTTGATCCTCACTGAGTGGACTATTCTTTCTCAGCTACGCTTAGAAAATCATCATAGCCATTGAAATTTGGTAAAGTGTGTTTCCGAAGATCAGTTTCGAAGAAACGTCTTCTTACTGCCGCGTTCGAACACTAACGGCTGGCACAAGCGAGAACATAATCGCCATTTGAACCCATGCAGTCAGCCCCAGGATCACGGCCATTACTTTGGTGATTATCAAATTATCCATACGAACTAACCTAGAAATTAGTAACTCGATTGGCTGATAGTTTTATGAAGTATGAAAACAAAAAGTAGACACAGATAAACGTTAAGGCATGGAAAAAGCAACTGCAAGATTTTTATACTCATCCTTAAAGGACCTTGAATTGAAGAATCTTTTTTTATTCTCATACGGAAGGTGTTTTGATAGACGATGAAAAATGTGGTACCGAAATCCAAAGGCGCACTGGGATAGAGAAAGATGCCTTCCAAAAGTTAAGCAAACTATTAAGTAGCAAGAAATTTCCTTAGAAACAACGAAAAGAGTTCTGAGCTGCTGTTCAATACCAATCTTCCTATATGGCAGAGAACTGTGGACAATTTATTCACAGACGAAAAGAAGACGCAGAGGAGCCGTTGTCCTACTGAAGACTGTTGAGAATACCATGGACGGCGCATGCGATCAACGAGGAAGTTTTTAGGAAAATGGAAATAAAAAGAAGATTTATGCTTAAAGTCAGAAAAAGACACTTGAAATTTCTAAGAGAGGATAGAGGGCTTGGCGAATTTAACACTTACAAGACATACTGAAAGCAATAGGCGCAGAAGGAAACATCGATTAACCAACCTAACGAACTTTTGTAAATAGATGACTGGTGAAGCGAAAAACATTGCCTAGAGTCTACAAAGATAAGAAATTGTGGAGAGTCATGATCACCAAGGTTCTGAAGGAACACGGCGAATAAAAAAAAAGTTGAAACCACTTGTTAGAAAACAAGCACTTTTTACGAGTCAAAGCCAAAATGCCTTTGTCGCTAGCAATAATTCTTTTTAAATCATTAACATAAAAAAAAACCATCGACTTTCGCGGGATTTGTAACTAAGAAGAGAACTCATACATCTTCCCCGAAATGTCCCTGGCTTTCGGAAAATGGCTGTCAAAGGGAACTGCCTTGAAGGGATAAGGACCAGGATTTTTTTTTTTTTGTCGCTGTAACTGCCCAGGGCAATATCAGTATCTCGCCGTTTGGCCCAAACCCTGACAGAAAGAACGAACACAGAGGTAGAATTTGGTGGGGAAGTTCTTATGCAAATGGTTCTTTAAGTGATTCCCTGAGGTGCGACCGGATCTCTACTGCGATTATTCTCTTCATTACACGGGGAATTGGACGGAAATGCAGGCAGGATATTCTATGGAATTGGTGACGTGCTGCTCGTGGCAAAAAACGTCACTTCTTATGCTACCTTAGTCAGAGAAGACCATTAAATCAAAGACAAGCAGTGGTTATTCTGACCTTATGCTTGCTTTTCAGTTAGTCTGTGTGTACTAATCTTCCATTTTCGACTCGCTTTCTCTGCCTGACGGTTTTACATTACTTTTCTTAATCAGTTTGGCACGAGGCGCAACTAAGGCGGAATATAAGTAGGAAGATTGTGTTGCGTCTTATCTATTTTATAAAATCAACAAGATTTATTTTTGTTTTTACCGCGACTCGAACATCATCCTCTGGTACCAGGTTAAAATACAAAACGATGCCACTTACCAAGAAATAGTCAGTTATGTGCCATCCGTGATACACGCTTAGGCGAACATGTATCTTTCGATACATGACTGACGGGGCAGATTTTTTTTACCGCAGTAGGTTGTTATTTCTTTCTGCGGTAGACCAGTTGCTATCCAAGGCTATAGAACCCGGCATTTCCTGATATTTACCCATAGTTGGAGGAGAAGAAGAGGAATCATACCTTTCTTAAGGGTTTTAGCACGTAAGTGAATGTAATGGATTCGACTGGAATTCGAACTCATTACCAAGAAATAACAAAACTTAATTAGACACAAGGCCACAATAGTTGAATGGCTAACGAGATTCGAGCTTACTAAACCATGGAAATTATCTGCAAGAGGAACTTGCTATCCCTCGTGCTACAGCAGGTGCCCAAAATAAATGTCTACTATGGTTATTTACCCCTGAGACGAGATGTGACATAAGGTCGGGTTTAATTTGGGGAAACCGAGCGCGTATACACGGGCCAGGTACAAAAAATGTCCAAACCCCACAACCGTTGGTTGCACTGGCCTCGGTAGCGACTACAGATCCCTCTCTCTAGTGTAATAGGGGGTGCAGTGTCGGGCAGCTCTTCCTTAAGACCGGGCTCCTCACAGTATTTATTTTCCTCAGCTGCGTCTCCGTCTACAGAGCCACAACTGAGTCGCACTCTGCCCGACGAAGGAAACGCAACTGAGAGATAATAAATGTGTAAAATAAAAAAATAAAAGTTTCTGCTTGCATTACTAGGATTAGGAGTCATCATTGTCTCCCCTGATTTTTGTTGTTATTATCACAACATGACGACTGTTGCGTTCTACAGCCTTTATTAAGTGCCTGTTGAAGCAGCTATTCTTTAGGGTATTTCTAAATGAACCCTTCATTTAATTTTCGTGGGTAGATTGTTCTAGTTTCGCTGTCGATGTAAGGCGTTCTTTACTAAAGGCCAACTCATTGTGCAACTCTTGCCCAGAACTGAAGGCCTATCTCGAATCTCGTCGTTCCACTGAAGGCAATTTTTTTTTTAGTTTCGGTCTGTGTTTACGGTAAATCGCTGCTGTAGTTAGCACAAGAAATGTTTACATTTAGAACAACTTTAGCTTATTTAATTGAAGTAAGTATAAGATTCATTTATTTTATTTCCTTCGGGCTTGATATATTATTTCTTGCTTTCATTACAAAAACTCTTTCTCTGCGGAAGCAGTTTAAAAAACTTGATCGTTATTTGGAAGTTAATTTAAAATTTTCCACTAAAAATCAGTTTAATATTCTTCTCTATTGTTATTTTTATTCATAAAAGCAAATACCCGGATGATCAATTTTATTTATTTTTGCGTTATTTGCAGTTCTATTTCTAAGAAATGGAAAAAGTATGTTGAATTTTTAACGCGTTTTTTATTGCGAAATGCAAACTATTTACATTGTTCGGACTATCATCCTCATCTTTGTTGCCATATTTATCACAACGTGATTTTCTGATCAATGGAAATTCATACACAGATGTCCTCAAGGACACATGGCACAGTGGATAAAGGCGTTGGTTAGATCCAGTGACAGGACCCAAAGGGCTTGAGTTCAATACCTGGCTAAGGCGGTGGAGAACTTGGAGACGTGAATTAACAGGAGATAACTGACACCTATTAGACATGGCACGTGGAATTAGAACAGTCTACCCCGGTGAGCGAAATAAAGAATTCAGTTCGACATTCCAACTACCTGAAGTCTACCCCAGCAAGCGAAATAAATGGTTCTGTTCGACATTCCAACCGCGTGAAGAAGGTCGGAGCGCATAACGGCCGAAACGTTGTGATAAATATGGCAACAAAGATGAGGATGATAGTCCGAGCAATCTAAATAGTGTACATAATACCTCATCTCAGAAATATAGACAGATACAGCGAAATGATTTCAAGAAATAATTATATTAATCCTGTTTTTCTAGTCTTTATTTTTCCAAATCTTACAAAGTCTCTCCCAAAAATGTTTAAATTTTAATGTTTTATATGTAATTTTTTGAAAAATTTCTCAGTTAACCTGTAGAAAAAGACAATATTTATAAATGTAAAAGACAATAGGAAAACTGTAATGGTTGCCGACCCGTTTCGTCCAATGTGGACTTTTTCAAGGCAAAAACGAAATGAATTTATGAAATGAATTTATTTAAACAAAGTAACTAATAATAACAAAACAACATGTCCTTAGCAATTGGAAGAATTTAGAGAACGCTATTTTCATACTGTTAAGTGAAAATTACGTCAATTACAGTCACGTGTGGAAATATTGTTTTTAATTTTAATTTTTTTTTCATTTAATTTAATTTTTTACAAACTCTTTTTCGAAGACTTTTCTCTTCGATTCGGTTTTTTCACTGCGAATTTTATTTAAAAAATTCTATTATTTATGAAATAAAATTTTCCTCTTTGATATTCTTATTCTTCAAAACAAATATCGATGAGTATCGATGATGAAGTTTAATTTCCATGATTAATATGTCCTTTTGATCTAGAAGGTATTTTTAAAATGTATGTCTCATTTTAGTTTAGTTTACCATTAAAAACAAAGTAAGAGCAAATGTGATAATTTATACGGCAAAATCAATAAAAAAATCATTTACTAAGAACGTTGGTACGTAAAGTTAATGCCATAATTAAATTCAATAAATTAAATCTGATATTTTTAAATATTGTAAACGAGGTGTACAAAATTTTAACCCTACTTTTAAACCACGTATTTTTAAGTATTATTTAATTCTAGTTACTTCTATAATCGTAAAAACTATTTTTTTTCTATTTCTATAATCATAATAAATTATATTTATGCCAAGTTAAGTCAGTATAACAATCGTTGCTTTATTTTTAAGCGATAAAATAAATAAAATAAAAATTTACTTTCATCTTTATTTCGTTTCATGTTATATTCTCCTTCTGAAATTCACAGTTCCGGTATGGTTTTTATACAACAAAATTAATGAAGAATAATTTATTAAAAACGTTACTACGTAAAGTTAATGTCATAATTAAATCCATAAAATTTAATCTAATATTTTTAGATATTATAAACGACGTGTACCAAATGTTAATCTTAACCATCCTGTTAAAAAATGCATTTTTTCATATTTATTTTGTGTTCTTGAATTCATAGCTTCGATTTAGTTTTAGTTTCATTAAAACTGTTTTAAGCCGGCTAATAAATTCAAAGATTAAAAAGCATATGACATTTCGTGAATCTTTGTTAAAGAGGTTGAAAAATATGGATACGAAACTCCTCCAAATGACATATTAATTGTAATAAAACCAGAGTAAAGAAAAAATATACTAAGATAAAGCAGATTAACTTTTTGAGGTATTAAAAACACTAAGTTATTTTGGAAATAGTAAATCATGAAACAGCGCCTTAAATCAATAAATAA